AAAAATCTCCAATTGGTTCAAAAACAGCCTTTTCTCAGGAAGATCCATCAGTAAATATTACAAAAGCATCAGAAATTGGTTGATAAACAAAAACTTTAGGAAATATAAATGAATTTTTACTAGCAAAATATAATAATTTACCTTTTGGATAATGATGAGTAATTTGACCAGAATAAATGGCAAATGCAATTATCCATTTTTTACCTTATTGATATAGCCAATTTAACTTGTAAAGTATAATAAGGGATAATAATTTTATAAGATCTTATATCAAAATATTGTCTTTCTTGACTGTGCTATTAATTGAGATATAGATTGTGGGCAAGTCCACAAAACCTTTTTAGGTGAATGGGATAAATGAATTCATCTTAAAAGAGCATTCTGTCAGAATACAGCAGTAGGACTCCTTTTAGCATCTAAAATACACAGCAATAACTTTCTGCTATGATTTATACAAGAGAGAACAGGAAGAGAGAAAATCCTGAACTTCTTTCAAAGCCCAATGAGCCTCCATAGTTAATGCTTCCCTAGAATTAGGATCATTATTTCCAATTGGAATATTAAACAATGGTTAAAGGTCCTGCTCAGTCAGTTCCAAACATAGATTAATTTAATTAATATTCTTATATAGAACAGTCAGCGTGAAAAACAGGTGGCCAACAGCTCCCATGAGGAAGGCCCCAAGCCATGCCTCTCTGAGTATCCACCAAAAATAACAAGGAATGTGAACGAAGTAAAACGATAAGGAAGTACAAAACAAAAATAAAGGATAATGGTGAACTCTTTCGCAGATAAGGACAAGTTCCTCTCTATTCTAATCTCAGTAGGGAGGGACTCAGTTGGAACAATGATGACTCCTAGGGAATGCCCTAGTGGCACAGTGTGACCTTCAGCTTGCATTAAGCCTCCCTCATTTCAAGCAAAACTACTTTCATTTTAAATCTTAAAACAAAAAAAATGCACAAAACTTACTACCAGTTATTCTGCTTATCCCCTTGAAATCCATACCATGTCAAAACTTTCATTTCCATCCTCAAAATAATATACCACCCAAAATGCCATAGTTTAATAACTGCAATTTTAAATACTGAATAATCATGGGGAGGTAAAATGTTTTATACTAAACGTTATATGAAAAAGGAATTGAAGGAACCACCAATATATAAGTTAGGATTTTCCTTGTTTTGGATCCTAGAAAATAAGCTGTTTGTTCATTGCAGATAGGAGACAGCAAGGGACCCCCACAGAGGGAGTGTTGCTTCCTGAGCTGGAGTTCACCTTGAGGCAACAAGGCTATTCCCAAGGACATACCAAATTCTTGTATTTGTGAACCCCTCCCTCTCGATCCAGGCTGAAGGTTTTCAATAGAAAGAGAGTGGCCTCATCTGCACTGAATTTTTTCTATGATTTACTTCCTGATAATTCTTAACAAAGATACAGAGAAGCTTGACTAGGGGTTTCCAGTCAAAAAACTGCTGGCCTCCTGTTTTATGCTCTGTGCTCCATCTCGTTCCTGGCTGTTTGTTCCATTATTAATAACTATAAAATTATTCCATTCTTTGGGATCCTCCGTATGCAACACATAATAATAATAATAATAATAGTAATATCAATATTTTCATCAGATCTTCCTTAAAGCTAAAATAGCACATAATTTGCTTTCTAGTACTGATTTATAAAGATATGATTCAATATTGAATTTGTTAATACTCCA